ACAGTAAATTCTTTTCCCCATACTTAATTTTAAATATAGAATGAAAGTATTTATGAACCAATTTTTCTTTTAGATACAATACAAACTTCCACCGTCCTTACTGCGATGAAAAAATATATTGGGAGGGCTTGGCTCATCAGTTGTGAACCCTCCCCTGGTTTCGCCAATTTATTCCACCAGACCGCTTCTCAGAGCTCCAATAAACACTATGAAGATCTTTTTTTAAAAATATATTCTATTCTATTAAAATTATTTTTAAAAAAAGTTTATTGCCCCAAAAAAATATTATTATAGTAATATAAAATTGCTCAGGGTCTTCTCGATTATTAAAGCTCTAAGAAGCGGTCTGGTGGATTAAATTGGAGAAAACGCTGGGAAGGTCCACCACTGATGAGCCAAGCCCTCCCAATAAAATTTTCATCGCAGTAAAGACGGTGGAAGTTGGTATTGTATATAAAAGAAACATTCGTGTTCAAATCCTTTCATTTTATATATATAGATGTCGTGTTATAGCTTTGTGTTAATTTAAAATAAACTTGAGAGCATTATCCTTTAACAATTCAAGGTTATAATTAAGTAATATTAAACCATTATTATATAACCATAAAAATAACTGTCATCAATTAAAAATTACATTATAGACAAGTCAGACGCGATTAAAGGAAGTGTTAATATTATACAAATTATTTTTGCACTAATTCACGACCAATCCAATTCTATGCTATAAATATTGTGTAAATATATAAAACTAGAGATAAAAATTAATATAATGCTTTATTTCATTTTTTAAATCAAAAAGTAACTGTGTAAGATGTAGAGAAAGTATCTAAGAGTGAAAAGGATATAGTATTAAACCCGCCATAGTCCAAAGATCGATTTCATGAGTTGCATTCCTTGATGCTGCGTTAATATTTTCATGGCTCCAGATAATTGAATATCTTAAGGATGTTTATTCAATCCGTTTAAGTCTTATATTTTTATAGATTTCTCAGATGTGGGCTCTGAGCAGAACTTATATTGTCTCCATTATAAATGATAGAATTTCTCGATCTTTGAGAAAATACTCAGCGATATTGCCACTCCTATACTAATGAGGGCCACACATTGGCTTTTGTTTGAAGTTGTTAAAGCCCGTGCTATAGCATATTCACTGATCTTGACTCTGAGCGGCCGGTGCTGATTTTGAATTGCATTGTTTAATGTATTGAATAGCGACGAAATGTGCGACTCCTTCTTGCAAAAGGAATTTATATAAAACAATATACAGAATGGGCAAAAAAGAGAGAGAGGTGATACATAATAAATTGTAAATAATATCTTTATTTGAAAAAAGAATAATAAAATTCAAGTAAAAAGTTTTTTTTTTTAATTTAGGTTTTGCAAGCTTTCGAACAAATATATATACTGCTCTTCAAAGGAAAAATATTTTTTCCTTTTTTCAAATGATTTCTGAGTAACTATTGCTCACATAAAAATATCTTTAAAAAGAAAGGATTTAAAAGCACGAGTGTTTCTTTTGTACATAATACAAACTTTTACTGCCCTTACTGCGATGAAAAAATATATTGGGAGGGCTTGGCTCATCAGCGGTGAACCCTCCCAGCGGTTTCGCCAATTTAATCCACCAGACCGCTTCTCAGAGCTCTAATACTGTATTGGACGATTCTGCTTATATACGCAGCACTGAAGGATGGAATCTCAGAAATGGTTTTCAAGAAAACTATGGACATAAGCTTATAGGACAGTAGAATTATATTCTAATATCTTTATCGCAAAGATAGAGGCTGCCTGGCCGGCATTCACATTTCTTGAAAATAAAGATACTTCGGCCAGTAAATCTTTGTATATAAATTATTCTATATATAATTTTTAACGCCTTGCTAAATGTTTTTTGTTTGCTCCTGACGAGGACAAAAGATTTTTGTCGAAACGTCGAGGTAATAAAAAGATTTACTGGCCGAAGTATCTTTATTTTCAAGAAAAATATCTTTATTATCACAAAAGCTGATGACAACGTTTATAACCAATATGTAAAATACAAATAGGGAAGTTAATAATAAAAGTAAATAATGTCCATTTTCAGATTCGCATAGATGAGTTCTATGGAGAACATTGCCAAGTATATCTGAACAATTTGCATGAATTTCGATATTGTTCTTTTGCTGTAGAGGGTAGTTTTTGGGTTGATTTATAGGCCTTGACTTTTAAATAACCTCACCACACAACCATCCATCATGGAGGCAGTTGTCCCGTGATGTCTGGTATATTTTCTTTGATTATGTTAATATTTTATATGAATATATCAGCATGATGGAGGAACTATTTAAAAACTAAAATTTTATGATTTTTATCTTATTTTCGGTTGTGTTTTACCACATTGATGTACCAAAAATTGCATTATTTGATTATGAAACAATTTATATAACGTGTGATCAATAATTTCCAGGAATGAGACTGGATCACGTAAAATATTCAAAATAATGAAATAATTTTATAAGGACCTTATAGATAAAACATTTATCAACACGTAGCAATAAAAATTGATCACATAGACGCACGCGCTCACGTTTTATCGAATTTATAAGCTCGAGTATATCAGAACATTTTCTAATTTCAGTATGGACTGTATTGAAAAACAGCGAGTCTGCATAGGGCTTTGCTTTAAATTAGGGAAAACAGCTTCCGAATCATTTAAAATCTTGAAGCAGGCTTTTAAATAAGATTCCCTATCACAATCGAGGACATTTGAATGGTTTGCACGATTAAAAGCTGGTCGAATAAGCAAGAGAAAACAAGGATGTTCAAATCGAAGCTTAAGTGACTTCTTATCACTTTAATTGATGTAAAGGGATTGGTACACTATGAATTCGTGCCCGAGTGTCAGACCATTATTCAACATTACTATCCTGATGTATTGCGATTTTTAAGAGAGCCTGTGCGTCAGAAAAGACCCGAAAATGGCATCAGAAAAATTGGCTCTTGCATCATGACAACGCACGGCCACATACGGCCGTCACTGTACCACTCTATTTGGCTAAACACGGAATTGCTTTACTACCCCAGCCACACTATTCACCTGACTTGCTCCCAACGACTTTTTCCTTCACCCTAAAATTAAAAGAGTCTTAAAAGGACCTCTATTTGACTCAATACCTGAAATAAAGGAGAATTCGAATAATATTTTGAAAAGCCTGAAAGATAAGGATTTTCAGAGGTGTTTTGATATCTGGAAAAAAATAAGGAATAAGTGTATAGATAGTGACTGTCATTATTTTTAGAAATTTTAAATAAAACTTTATTATACTTTTGTATTTCTTTAAATATTTAGCATTCCTGGAAATTATTGATCACACTATGTATATCTACACTTGTGGACAAAATTGAGAAAGTTGTACCTTTTAGTATATACATCGGTATTTAGACAATAACTCTGAAAGATAGTTCATACACAGTGATCTTTATTGAAGATACACGAGATAACCAAGTGAAAACAAAATTGCCTCTGTCTCCTAAAAAAATAATAATAGAACAGAAAACCGGCGACATAAAAGACTTTTTACTTCCTTAAGTTTTATTTATAAGTGCATTTATCATAAGGGAGATCGTCGCATTTTGAAATGTATTTTTCTCTCCCTGACTATTCCTATATTATAAAATATACTATCTTCACATAGCATCTATTTACCATATACTACAAATGCACAATACCTTTGTTTTCAGCCCCTTCCACACGTTAATCATCTAAAAATAAAGAAACTTGACAAACCAAGTATCAACGCTATGTAAAGACCCGTCCATAATGACTCACCGATGCCCCACCTCAGTTTCAAACATGCCTCTATGGATGATACATGGGCGTCAAAGTTTTGGCATCAACGTGGGGAGTTGAGATTCCAGTTGCAATATTTCTTCCGATGTATTTTGGTCGCTAAGAAGACACAATTGAACACATCAATCAGCTTTCACAGTTCCATTTCATTTTCAAATTAAATGAGGCCCATCAATCTAGTCGTTCTTTTTTCAAAAAGTCGACCTTAACTTTTCCAACAACTCTTGGCCTTCGATTTTTTGAATCGCACGTAATCTATGTGAATAATGTGCGGATCCAAACGTCATCTACAATCATGTTGTTTGCAGACGGCTGAATGTGCAGAAAAAAAAGCTTCTGTTCGTGAAAAAATGTACAGAAATATTTATATACAGTCATTTCTACGCAGATCAGGTAAAAGATTGAATGTATATTCTATAACGTTGGACATACACTATTCGACAAAAAGCCAACCTGCACAACATAGATTGGTATCCAAAATTGAGCGAACAAAAACAAAACGTGTTAACTATTTTTATCGAGCGTATGCTTCCTTTTAAAATAAACAAGTTCCTACTGTCCTTATTGTAATAATAAAAATAGCGGAAGAACCTGGCTCATCAATGGTGAACTCTCCCAGCCGTTTCACCAGTTTAATCAACCATACTGCTCTCATTTGTATTTGACTGTTTTGCTTTTATATCCGGCACTAAAATAATTCATGTATATTTTTAAAATGAATTTTATTCAAAAATTATGAAATTTGGTGTGCAAAGTTTGTTCAGTGAGTAATCAATGTAGCCCAATGGAGAGAGAGATTTAAAACTATATAAATATTTTTTTTAAATGCGAAATATTTAAATGTACACAAAACGAGGCAGCATATCTACCGGGAATAGAGGGTCAAAAGAGAATAGATCACCTCCAGCAGATTTACCATTCTTATAACGAACTTTCATGCTGATTACGTACTTTTGAGAAGAGGAGCCTTGAAGAAATAAATCCCACTCCTCCAGGGTTCTGAGAAGGGGATGACTAGCTCCAATGCTCCAAGCTCCAAAGACACCACAGGCATGTTCTTTTGGATTCCATAGATCCATCGGCTGACCAATCCATCGGCTAAATATCTTTCGAGGAAAGCATTGACTAGTTGACTATATTGAATAGTATTATCATCTATTAAAATGTGTGAGGTAGCGTGGCCGAGCGGTCTAAGGCGCTGGTTTAAGGCTCTTCAAGTTTAAGGCTCAGTCTCTTCGGAGGCGTGGGTTCGAATCCCACCGCTGCCACTTTTTTTTTTTTTTTTTACAAGACAACATCTATTAAAATGCACTAGGATCCAATAGCATTCTGAAAATTCTTACCTATGGCTAAATAATTTTGATTCTGTATCTTTAAACACTCAATTAAACTCCCTCAAACACGTGGAGAGGTATACGCTTGTTCGAAAAATGAAGCCAACCCAGACCATGCAACTCTTTTTCCCATAACGGTCTGTGATGGTAATGGGATAAAAATGTGTTCTCTCCAGATTCATTTTATATAGACTCATCGAGGATCTGTTCTTAAACTGAATTTCGACTCGAAACTGGAAAGGTCATTAGATCATTGAATTCTGGGTCTAATGATCATGGCATCAATTCAAACGGGCTCTCCTGTTAGAAGATGTGAGAAGGATACCAGTCAGGTATGGGTCTTCTTGGATCATGGTGAATCTTCTAGGCCTTTTGTCTTAGTTTTATTGAGATGATATCGGTTTTACTGATTTGTTTCCAAAGTTGGAAGACCGTATTTCTGCTAACATTGGTGACTTCAGTGTTGCGTTGGCAGGGTTCCATCCTCCCAAAATTCTCCATCGTAAAACATCGGAGAAATAATAATGAAAGGCATAATCTTGCTAATCATTTGCTTCATATAAAATCACATTGATCTCAAATTTATTATTATTGTACTCCACCGCTTTTATTTCTAAGTCTATTATTTTATTTGTTAAATGGTACCTTCAGAAAAAAAAAGCAATACTTCAGAAATATTTATTTTGTTATTTTTAGTGCATTTTAAATAAAAGCTTTTTTTAAAAAGTGTTTTTATAATTAATTATTCACGCTATTTTTAGTCGTATATATGCCAGTCCAAAAAAAAAAAAAAAAGCCTTATCACTGAGACGACGTTGGCCTTAAATAGCTGCAAGCCTGCTCTCAGCAGATTGGTCAATTCCTCGTGGGAGGTCGGAAGTAACGTAAGCAAAATCCGTTACTAACAGAACTGCGTCTCTTTGCTTTTGGGAACCCTAAATTTATTGAATTATATTACAAAATTAGAGACACCCAGTGGATTATTGTTAGGGGATAATTGGTACATATAAAATTTGAATTATAATTAAACAATTGATTAAATAGTTAAAAGTAACAACATACTAATTGAAAAAGGGGAACTATTTAAAAAGGTGTCGTGAAATGTATTGTGGTATATTGTTACACACACACACCTATATATATATAATGAATATAAATATATGCGTGATGATATTGGAATAAGATGACTAAATTATAACAGATAAAATTAATATATTTGTTGGCTTTTCTCATTTATTTGCTTGTAATTCCAAGGACGTTTTAGATAGGAATCTGAATATTTGGATTTCTAATTCCTTCCATGTCTTGAACATTTATTGAAAAATCCTTTCGCAACCTTCAGCATTTTCCGAGTAGATATAGTGCAACACATAATATTAAAAAATAAATATAGATAATGGTTCATTTCCCGCCTTCCCGACCACCTAGAAGTCTGAAAATTAGTACACTTGCATTGTTAATTAGACTGAGCGAGTATTGTGAGTTTTATTATTCTATATGGTCTGGAAGCATATTAAAATTAAATATACAAAATTTGAAAGGAAATTTGGATATTTGTCCGCTCTTGGCCAACCTGACAACCCAGAAGTCTGAAAATTGGTCAGCTAGCATTGTCATCAGGTTTGAACATGTGTACCAAATTTCATATTTCTAGGTGCCCTATAAGTATATTAAAAATTGATTACAAGATTTGGCGACAGACATCCAGACAGACAGACATGGAGGCAAGTTAAATAAAAGCTTTTAAAAAAGACATGTTTTCACTTAATTTTTGAAACCAGTGTAGATACGAGTTAGGGCCCTCATCAGTATTGGTGCTGTTCATGTTTTCTTTTTAAAGGTAATTTTTTCACTTAAATATTGTCCTCCCACAAAATTAGAATATAGTAACTTCTGAACGGCGAACAATATAAGGAATATATGGAAATAAAAGAAAAAAAGAGAAGAAGGTAAGGTAGATATATTAAAAAATCGGCATATCTCGATCTAAAATGAGCATATTCGATGGCAGTAAGGCATCTAGCACAACAAATATTGACCACATCAAGAAAATCCAACTATATACTCGTTTCGGGCTGTTGGTCCTCGACAGCATGGTTTATATCAACGAAATTTGACCAATATTATGGAATAAATTCAAATCAACGTTTAGTTAATATTTAGTACTCAAGATGTCTTTCTGTCATCTAAAAATGCTCATTTAAGCGGTCAGGATATACGTATATTTCATCTAAATGGTAAATTGAATAACTTCATATAAAACATGTACCATCCTCAGTCAATATGAAAGAGAAAAGATACATACAGTTCTGTGGATTATGTCTATGGCAAACACAAATGAAATTTTCAGCAATATGCCATATTTAAACTTATCCTAATCCATTTCCCAATATGTGAATACAGACCTATCAACAAAATGATACATAGAATCTGATTTTTATTTATCTCAAATTAGCGCTGAAATACTATTCGAAGAGCTGTTTATTCGCTTGAAAGCTCGTTCGTTTATTAGCTTCTAACAAAGATAGATATTGCTAGTTCAGGTGGTAGTGCTATTCAATATTCTCTAGCAACTCCATTATTATAAATAAAACACAATTCACTGAGGGAAGAAGGGCCTGTCAAAGGGCTGTTTTGCCCGAAAACTTGTATCGTCATGATAGAAAAAAAGAAACTCTTCTATCAGCAAATTGTTTTTTATTTATATTTTTCAATATTTATAATACAATATAATGCAGCTTATGATTGTAGAACGATATTTGAAAATTATCCCACATGTGTTTCTTTTGAACGAAAAATCGAAATTTATTTTAAGGAGAAATAACGATTATTTCTAACCTTAGGGATGAAGTATGAAAGGATGAATTGTGAAGAGTAATGATAAACGGAAAAATAAAGTGTCCAGGGATGGGAATGTCGTTCTACATTTATAATTCTACTGAAGGGATTATAGTATTAACCAACTCTATTATTATTTTAAAAGCTACTATTCCGAATACCCAATAGAGAATATACTATGAAACAAAAAGCCTTACAAAACCAAATAACGTAGCGTAGAGGCTGCTGAAGAAGTAGCGGAAGTTGTGAAGACTTCTATAGTCACATCCATGTGAACCCACTCAGGCCGCCGTTCCATGTCAAGTTGCACTCGGCAGCCAAACTTCCCTGAGCTAGGCAAATATTTGTAAATTTTCTCGACGTTATTGACTAAAACAAAAGCCATATGTTCGCTGAAGTGGATGACTTAGCGACCTGGTTTTAAGAAACATAAATTAACTATGACCGGAATACTACCTCTGCTGAAAGTTGTAGACCCAGTTTGAAATATTCCGATATCAGAATACCTTAGTGAAATGTTAGATCTTTAAACACACAGCTAAATGTATTTAAACTTGACATTTGAGACAATATTACGGTGGCTAAACAATGTTGAATGTTGCGACCGGTAAACACCATTAGAGAAATTCTCTACGATCTGTAGATACATTTGGAGAAATAAAGATGTAGAGATAGTGAAATTCGGCAATCTGTAGACATGTTAAGAAACTTTATGATCTGTAGATACATTTGGAAAAATAACGATGTAGAGATAGTGAAATTCGACAATCTGTAAACATGTTAAGAAACTTTATGATCTGTAGATACATTTGGAGAAATAACGATGTAGAGATAGTGAATTTGGCAATCTGTAAACATGTTAAGAAACTTTATGATCTGTAGTCACATTTAGAGAAATAACGATGTAGAGATAGTGAAATTTGGCAATCTGTAAACATGTTAAGAAACCTTATGATCTGTAGATATATTTGGAGAAATAAAGATGTAGAGATAGTGAAATTCGGCAATCTGTAAACACGTTAAGAAACTTTATGATCTGTAGATGCATTTGGAGAAATAAAGATGTAGAGATAGTGAAATTCGGCAATCTGTAAACACGTTAAGAAACTTTATGATCTGTAGATACATTTGGAAAAATAACGATGTAGAGATAGTGAAATTTGGCAATCTGTAGACATGTTAAGAAACTTTATGATCTGTAGTCACATTTAGAGAAATAAAAATGTAGAGATAGTGAAATTTGGCAATCTGTAAACATGTTAAGAAACTTTATGATCTGTAGATACATTTGGAGAAATAACGATGTAGAGATAGTGAAATTTGGCAATCTGTAAACATGTTAAGAAACTTTATGATCTGTAGATACATTTGGAGAAATAAAGATGTAGAGATAGTGAAATTCGGCAATCTGTAAGCATGTTAAGAAACTTTATGATCTGTAGTCACATTTAGAGAAAAAAGATGTAGAGATAGTGAAATTTGGCAATCTGTAAGCATGTTAAGAAACTTTATGATCAGTAGATACATTTGGAGAAATAACGATTTGGAGGAATACCGCGATATAGAGATAGTGAAATTTTGCAATCTGTAAACATTTTAAGAGAGGTTACAATTTGTAGACACATTTGATGAAATTCTGAGATTTGTAAACACGGGTATTTGTTGCAAAATGTAGACACAGAGAAATTTTGTGCCCTCTCGGTACATTTTGGAGGAATGTTGCAATGTCACAATAAAATGTGTTGCACTGTATTGCACATCTGTGATGCACTTAGAAACTTTATATCTTTAAATACATTTGAATGCGACCTGTAGTTACTTTTGGTATGTAGACAATAAAATGTACAATCTATAGAATAGGGAATTTTCTTTCTGTAGATGCAGTAAGAGAAATATTGCAATCTGTACGATAAATGTTTTGACCTGTATGATCTGTGATATATTATTACTCTACTCTGTATTATTGATCATCATCTTGTAAACAACAATATACGTATAATCGAATTGTAAAAAGAATAAAATAATTATAGTAGCTTAAAAATAGTGTATCTTTCATTTATCTATATATATATATATAAAGTGCAATTTCTTACAAA